CCATTTCTACCAGAACTAATTAACCTCTTGGTGTCCAACAAGTTAAGAAGATGGGTAAGAAACTGATAGGCACCATGGAATGCCATTTCATCAATCTACAAAGAGCTTAATCTAGAAAGATAATTTGTATGGATAATTGGCTCTAGGCATTTCATTATGACAGGTTAAGTGTACCCAGAAGGAGAAACAAAATTATCAATAAGAGAGTTGTTTGGTAAGTATACAATTAGAATAAACAGAATGGGTAGTTTTCAGGGGCTTTTCTTTCAAATTAGGATAGTTGAAAGAAATTCCTTCTCTACTTTAAAATATTTCTCTTTGAAAAATATTCAAATATTGCTTCTGGACATTACCAGAATATTCTTATATTCTTTTGCTCACTGTTATCCTAGACTTACTGTAGAGGATTTTTCTGTTGACATATAAGTCTCGCAAAAAAGTTTTGCTGATTACAGAGGGCTAACTTTTGTTACAGCAACTGTGTTCATTTACTATCTCTAGCATCTTTCCCCCATTCTGTCCCTTTCCATTCACTACTCCCCACTCACAAGGGTAATCACTATTTAGATTAATTTTGCTGCTTTTGAATTTCATGTAAATAGAATCATATAGTATGTGTCATTTATGTCTGGCTTTTTCAATTCAATATTGTATTTGTGAATGTCAACCTAAAAAAGGCAAACTGAAGCAAATCTTGTAAAGCAAAAAGGACTTTATTTAGATAGAATTTGGAGGACTGTAACTGGCATGCAGCCCAGATAAACATGTTTTTGGTAACCTCAAACATGGCACTGACATCTTACAATCCTCACACAGGTACTATTGTAAAAGCAAAAATTCTAAGTAGGAAAGGGGGAGAGAGGAGATTATACTAATTGTTTTGGTACAATTATCCTTGGTCCCCAAGATCAGTAACAAGGGTGGCATCAGTTCAAGGTTGATGGGTAGATATCCTTACAGAAGTAGTGCTTGTGTCAGGTTGCAGTGGTCTTTGTACAATGTGATTCTTGAAGAGTTCTTTAGATTCTAAACACTTACTATCATGCATACTAGCTTGAGAAAACATTTTCTTCATGGTCTTTCCTGTCTCAATTAAATCAGGATTGAAACAAATTACTCCATTTTGATTTTGAAGAGCTTTGGCATGAGTGAAAGCTATACTATTCAAAGTGTTTGCAATTTGTTATTCTCATTGCTTTATAGAATATTCCATTGAGCCAATATATAATTATTTATTCATGCTACTATTGCTAAGTAATTGGGAAGTGTCCACTATGGAACTATTTTGAATACTACAGTGATACATACTATTGCACACATCTTTGGTGAACATATGAGCATTTTATTGTTTTAAATTATCAGAGGGCACGTGTGCTCTTCACAGAGAGAGAGATAGGAAAAGGGAGAAAGCACCCCCTAATGGCGTGTGGTCATGCTGGCATCTTCTATTTCTCGTTGGGATTTTGGGCATGCACACACAAGTACCTCACGTTTCTTTCAAGTCACTGGTGCTGGGACTCAAACCACATCGCTTGTGTGATATTTGGCTTTCTTAACCACTAGGCCACAGGACCAGTCCAAAAATATTGAATACATGTATTTCTGTTGGAAATATCCTTAGGAGTATAATTCTAGGATTGTAATATATGTATATATATTCAGATTTAATTGATTCTGACATCTTTCCAAAGTTGATATATCAAATGACACTTCCACAAACAGTGTAAGAAAATTCTATTTGCTCTTCATGCTTTCTGACACTTGGTATAGTGTGAATTTTTCCTTTTTATGGATACATGGTGGTATCCCATTATTTTTGTTGTTGTCATTTTAGAGAGATTTTTGCTATAGAGTGCATGCAGTCACCACAGAGACAGAGAGAAAGCGAAAAAACATCCCTGGAAGGGATGGCCCCATGGCAATCCCTTCTCCTCCATTCTTCTCTTGGGATTTTGGGCATGCACACACATGTGTCCAGCGTGTTTAAAGCCGTTGGGTCCATGATTTGAGCTGTGGTTGACTATGCTGGAGTCCAACAATGTAACCATTATGCCATCTGCTCGTCTCAACCTCATGGTTTTAATTTGCATTCCTCTGACTTGTAGTGCCAGCCAAAACCAAGTAAGCCCACTCACTGTAAGGAAAACTGCAAGATAAAATATAAAAAGTACTATTCAAGGTAACTGAAAAGAAAAACCAGGCAACTTGGAGTGGAGAGTCAAAACTTAGAGAAGTGACCCTAAGTGTTTACCTATTTTCAGTTTTATGTATTTTTCTCTCATAACTTTGGCCTGAGGCCTTGGCATTTAAGGAACTGTGGTGGTAGTACACGAGGCAAAAACTGGGGGAAACCCTGTAGTTCTGGCCAAATAGTGGAGATGAGGGGAAAGGATCTCTGTGAGTCAGAAGTTTGTGTGGAAATACTTAGCTTTTTCTCATTTCCCTCTTTTATTTCCACCTATACTTTAAGCCAAGGAAAAAGACCTGGGCTTGGACACCTACAACACCAAAAACCCCTTCCTAGACAAAAGGAGCCTCTATTGTCTGAAAAGTGTAGAAGGAATCCACATCTGTGTATCTTTTATATCACTACTTTGCCCAGGTTAGGCCCTAGTCAACTGCAGTAGCTATGGCAGGCAGCTGAACCTCCAATAGAAACCTAAGATTTCCAGAAACAGGACCAGGGAAAGGGGACCCTCCAAGACAGACAATGAGTAAAGAATATAGGCAAGTTCAGAGAGCTAGAGAAGGGGATTCTATGTATGAATTCACACAAGTTCTGTGTTCACACTTCAATGGAACATGTGCAGGACAGACATAAAACATCATAGCAAAAAATCTGTGAACTGAACTATAGTTCAAACTGCTACTCAAATCCCAAAATAATCCCTGAGTATTGTTATGCATACTTTAGACCCAAAACAACATTAAGGAGTCTTTGAAAACTCAACTGACTGGTATTCACAGAAGTTGAGAATGAATTTGTAATTTGAATGAAACTGGATTTACTGCCTCCTAACACAAAACAAAACAAAATAAAATCAGAATTTCCCTAAAGGTTTTAATAGAAACCAGAATCTATGCAGCAGAATATTCATAATGGCCAGGATAAAATTTACAATTATACAAACAAAAGAACTGGGAAAATGTGACCAAATCTTAAAGGAATATATAATGAACAGATGCCAAACTTTAGATAATGACAGTGTTATTTATCAGTTCAAAATGTTAATGTAGCTATTATAGCTAGAAAGTAGTAACAATTTCTTTGCTGGATATATACTATATTCTAGAAAACTTTTTGCATTTATGTACCAGAATCCATGCATACGAATGCTCATAACAGTAAAGGCAAAATTTAGCAAACAGAAGTAAGTTCTCACAAAAAGAAACATCATCGGTACACAGAAGTGAAAATAAAGAAACTACAGCTACATGCAACGACATGTAATCAGACAAAATCCATTTTTCTTTTTGAGAGAGATTTTTGCCCACCAGAGAAAGAGACTGAGAGACACAAAGCAAGAAATCACTCCTCAGGGGGATTGCCACCCAGTAATCTCTTCTCCATTCTCCTCTCAGGATGTTGAGCACACAGGCACATATGCCAGGAGTTGAGGTATAAGCCACTGGATTTTGGATTTGAACTGGGTGTTACTATTGGGAGTCCAGCGAGGTAACCATCATGCCACCTGCTGGTTTACACATAGATAAATTGAGAAGCATAATACTGAGTGAAAAAATTAACTAATAAGCTATCTTCATACTGCTCAAGTTTATCAAATTAAACACGTACATTAAACTAACACTTGTTAATGTAGCTATTATAGCTAGAAAGTAGTAACAATTTCTTTGCTGGATATATACTATATTCTAGAAAACTTTTTGCATTTATGTACCAGAATCCATGCATACGAATGCTCATAACAGTAAAGGCAAAATTTAGCAAACAGAAGTAAGTTCTCACAAAAAGAAACATCATCGGTACACAGAAGTGAAAATAAAGAAACTACAGCTACATGCAACGACATGTAATCAGACAAAATCCATTTTTCTTTTTGAGAGAGATTTTTGCCCACCAGAGAAAGAGACTGAGAGACACAAAGCAAGAAATCACTCCTCAGGGGGATTGCCACCCAGTAATCTCTTCTCCATTCTCCTCTCAGGATGTTGAGCACACAGGCACATATGCCAGGAGTTGAGGTATAAGCCACTGGATTTTGGATTTGAACTGGGTGTTACTATTGGGAGTCCAGCGAGGTAACCATCATGCCACCTGCTGGTTTACACATAGATAAATTGAGAAGCATAATACTGAGTGAAAAAATTAACTAATAAGCTATCTTCATACTGCTCAAGTTTATCAAATTAAACACGTACATTAAACTAACACTTTTAAAAAGCAAGACAATAAATCCCAAATACAAGAGAATATTTTTCCCTTCCTCATCTCTGGAGAAAGGTAATGGGGTGGGGTCAGAAAAGGCACTAATATTTTAACAATATGGGCAATATCCCAGCTCTAAAACTACTGACCACGTCTTATCTGTATACTATTCACTTATATGTTAACATCTATTTATGTACAAAAAAAAACAGGTTTCTAAATTGTATCCTATGTCCATAGTAAATGAACAGTTTTCCCCCTCTATTAAAATGCTCCAAAAATTTGAACCCAACCACCTCACCCACAAACGTACTCCGGGCAACGGGCCATTCCACGCCCCGAACTGATGACAGTCACTTCCGCCTCCGCTCCCCTAGCTCCTCCCATCTAAGCGGAAGTATTTTTTGGAGGGGTCCTCCCGCCTGTAGGGGGCTCTCCGAGGCTTCCAGTGCCACGAAGGCCGCCTTCGTGGGCTGTCCCTACGGCGCCTGTTAGTTTAACTCTAAAGAAGATAATTGTATTGTAAGATTTTGGGCCGGAAAACAATCACACAGGCATTTTATTCCGGATAATAACGTTCAAACTCAATTCCTGCCTCGTACCTTCATTGGCAATCCCTGACACAGTGGTGAGATGGTGCCAGGCGGTGTGAGGACAGCCTCGAGATGCCGAAAGTCCCCGGTCCGCTTCCTCCTGTGAAGACGTAGCTGAGGGTGGCTGTGGTGGTGGCTTCCAAGATGTCGACCAAGAATTTCCGAGTCAGTGACGGGGACTGGATTTGCCCTGACAAGAAGTGAGTTCATGAAAGGCCCCAAATTGGGACAGGGTTTATCAGTGAAGGCTTTCTCCGATCAATTTGGTATTTCCGTTTTTTTGTGATTTCTTCCTTTACCTTTAGCTGGGCCGAGGCCTTGAACTACCGGCTCCGAGGCGGGAAAGAGGCTCCCAGAACGAGAGGAGACTTAGGGGAATCGTTGTTTGGTATTTACGGCTTTTTCTCACTTTACCTTTCTAAGGAAGTGCCGCTTTTTAGAGTGCGGGATGGCGTACTTCCCCCTCCCCCCACAAGCCTCTCACCCCAACGGGTGAAGGCCAGGTTTCCGCGGTGAGGAGAGTCTTCCTTAGTCCTGGCCAAGCGCGGTGTTGGAGCTCTCCCACGTGACTTTTTCATTCTTGTTCGCGGAATGCGTTGGTTTATCGCACTTACCCTTTTACTTCTTACAATCAATTCCTCTTGTTTTGTGTATTTAGTCAAACTTCTACATCGAACTGCTTATTCCCTTCCCCTCAAACCGTATCCGTCTTTGATTTGTGAAATTCTGAATTTTCTACTAGACCTTTAATTTCTCTTCAGTTATTGAGCTTTCGCCCCTTTGGGGCTGAAAACCAGAGGCCTGGATTTTTCTTTTCTTTTCTTTCTCTTTTTTTTTTTTTTTTTTTTTTTTTGCCTTTTTAATCCTTAAGATGCCTGCAGTAAAGAAAGCCACATATGTTAGTGGCTCTGTTTTTGACATCGTTGCTAAAGGCTGTGTGCTCTTGATAAGTCGTCAGTCACATCTTTATGAGGGGTGCATAAATAGATATACCTGTTTGAAAACACAAAACAACTTAATACACAAGTCAGTGTTAAAATAAAAATACTTGTTGCCCATAAAATGGCCACAAGTAAAGCATTTATGCAGTAAAGGTAACTATAATACTTTGGAACAAATCTGGGCTTAGTTCCTGTTCTGTTACATATAGACCAGGTAACTCTTAAGTACTTTGCTGAAAAATAGGAATGGAATTGTTCTTTACATTGAATTCGTGAAGTAGGGCGGTTAGCGTATATAAAAGCAATAAAACATGGGAAATACCATACTGTATAGTGAGAAGGTGCTCAAGTCTAATTCATGATACAGAACAAGTTATGTATTAAGACTATCGTTGCTCCCCAGTGGTAGGACAAGATTGAAAACATTCAAAAGATTTCGAACAACTTAGGAGTTTTCTGTGTTGGTCTTCTGTGTGATTAATGATTACACCTAAACCTTTGAGAAAGTCTAAGAGAGTGCATTTCAAGTCACTTAAAAATATGTGAGTAGAATAATATTTCTACAGTGTGCCTAAGTCTAGGAGACATTTTCAGTTCTTATTGGGGTCATGAGGAATATTTTTTACTGGAGAAACATAACAATTATTTGAAATGGTTTTGTTTAGTGTTATCCCATACTCCACATCTTTATATCACTTTAGTATCACTTTTGAAAATCTATTTTTTAAACTATAAACGTTATATATCATTCAGAGCCTTGAACTGAAAATTGTTTAGTTTTGTATTTTTTTCAGTGTAATCAAAGTAATGCCATGCTACTTTACATGTTGAGGTTATCTGGTTGTGGTCGAGCCCCCCTCCACCTGCCAGCTAGGTCTCAGAGGTTTGATAAATATTTGATAAAACTCAGTTTTCTTATAATTATTTGAACCTATTGTGTTTTCAGTCAACACAACTTCCCTCCTTCTTTCTATCCTACCTGATAAAGGGCATTTCACCAAGATTCATAAAGCCGCTTCCTGATTTATCATTTTTTTTCTTTACTGGTTCACTTGTAGGATTTTACAATTTTTTTAATAATAGAGAAATATTTTTTTACAGATTTATTTAATTTAATTTATTCATTTATTTTAATTTGACCAGGGAGAAAGTTAGAAAGCAAGCTACCAGGTCCAGGACTTGAACCATGGTCAGCCATGTGGGAATGTCCAGCACCTTGACCACCACGCCACCTGCTGGTCCCTGTGGAGAAATATTTTTATTTGTTGGAAAACTTTTTTTTTGAGAGAGAGTTTTTTGCTATAGGGCACATGCGCTCGCTAGAAAGAAAGAGACAGAGTGACAAATCAACACCCCAAGGGGGGATAGCCACACCTCAGTCCCTTCTCTTGGAATCCTGGCCATGCATGTACATGTGCTGGATGTGAGTTCAAGCCACTGGGTCCAGGACTCAAACTGGGGTCAACTACATGGGAGTCCAGCGACATGGCCATTACGCCAACTGCTGGTCCCCATTGGAAAACTTTTTTTTCTCAACTTTTTTTTAAGAGAGATTTTTGTTATGAGGCGTGTGTGCTCACTGGAGAGAAAGAGAGACAGAAAGTGAGAAGTTCCCTCCCATGGCCATGCCACAGTCCCTTCTCAAGTTGCTTAAAAATATGTGAGTAGTGCCGGGCACGTGTACGTGCGTGCCCAAGATCCCTAGAGGAGAATGGAGAAGGGATTGCTGCGTGACCATCCCCCCTGGAGGGTGATTTCTTACTTTCTGTCTCTCTGTCTCTCTCTCTCTCTCTCTGTCTGGCGAGCGCACGCGCCCTATAGCAAAAAAACTCAAAAAAATACATATTTGAATAGAATATTATTTCTACAATATGCATAAGTCTAGGAGACATTTTCAGTTCTTATTGGGGGCATGAGGAATATTTTTACTGAAGAAATGTAACAATAATTTGGAAGGTTTAGTTTAGTGTTATCCCATATTTCACATCTTTGTATCATTTTAGTATCACTTTGAAAACTGATTTTCAAAATGCGATACGATAACCTTTTAAATCAAGGGTCTGTTGATTGATTATTCAGTTTCTTTTCCTCTTGGGATCTTGGGCATGCACGCACATGTGCTGTTTTTTGTTTCTGTTTTTGCTTGTGAGTGAGTACATGGGCACACTTGAGAATAAGAGAAATACAGATGACCCCTTCACAAGGTCTGGTAACACTATGATCCTCTTCAGTTTTCTAACCCATCAGATCCGGGGAACTCACACTTGTCTGGTATGTTTTGGACTGATCAGACTGGGGATTTGAAACCAGTAACCCCAAGTAACCTAGCATCTTTTGAGCAGCATATTATTGCTGTGCCAAGGAGTCAACCCCGTATTTCTTGCAATATATTTTGTTTATATCTTATTTTCTATACTAGTAGTTATCGTTTTTTTGTTTTTTTTTTTAACTCATTGATGCCTTGTCAGTAAATATTGGAGTCAAGTCTCATTTCAACTTTACAATTGCATTTTTTAATTAATGATATCTGGAGATATGAGGACAATAAGGTACAAAGATCTAAAGTGACTTAACCAGGATTATATAATTAGTAAATAGGATGATTAGAATTTATTATCATGGATTTGTGACTCCAAATTGAATGTATTTTAATCTCATTAAAATATGCAAACTTATTTTTCTTACTGAATATTTTTGTAGAAAATACTGAACAAGGTAGACTAGAAGTTTTGGATTCCAGATTTGTATTAAGGAAACATTGAAGTGTAAACATTGTACAGATTGAAAAGACATTCTGTAAGTGGGTTTTTTTTATATTTTCAGATGTGGAAATGTAAACTTTGCTAGAAGAACCAGCTGTAATCGGTGTGGTAGGGGTAAGTAAGGAAAATTCTAATAATACTGCATATCCAAATTATTTATTTCTCCCAATTTATATTGCATTCTATTTTCAGAGAAAACAACTGAGGCCAAGATGATGAAAGCAGGGGGAACTGAAATAGGAAAGACACTTGCTGAAAAGAGCCGAGGCCTGTTCAGTGCTAATGATTGGCAATGTAAAACGTATGTGTTTCAAGTTATTGTCTAATTTTCCTTCTATAATAATATAGCCACTATTTGTTAATATTATTAACTCTTGCTAGTCACCTTGACAAGCCAGGATAACCTTTTAAATCAAGGGTCTGTTGATTGTTATTCAGACAGTATTTCATTTAACTATAATGGGACCAGCAGATGGCATAACCCACATAGTCAACTGTGGTTCAAGTCCCAGACCTGGTGGCTTAAATCTCAATGCAGGGCACGCATGTGCTTGCCCTAGAGGAGAATGGAGAAAGAATTGCAGCATGGCCATCCCCCCTAGGGGGTGATTTCTTGCCCACTCTCTGGCGAGTGTACGCGCCCTATCACAAAAATCTCTCTTAAAAAAAAAAGTTAACTAGAGTGTAAAGAAAGTTTTTTGTCCTCCTTTTTGCATTTTTTAATGGTAGTAATTTTGTATAATTAATATATCCCATGAACAAAGGTAAATGGGGGCGAGGTGTATATTTTAAAGTGCTATGGTCTGGTTCAATTTTCATGTTTAGATTTAATTCTGTTTTGATTTTTCTAAGTCATGTTTTCTGCTGTGTAGAAGAATCCTCTATATAAAAGAGGACTGAGTCACAGGGTCATACGTAAATTTCTAAACTGTAAACATTGAATTTGTATGGTAAACATTTTTAGCAACCGAGTAAGTGAATAGATTGGCTTTGCTACAGAATTCAATGATTGAACTGATTCCTTAAAAAATAAAATTTACCATTATTTGGAGGGTATAACCGTATTCTTCTTTGAAGTGAATTCACAGACAGAAATTATTGGAACTTTTAATTTAAGGCATCAGAATCTATAGTTATCATCTGTCATTTACTTCTTAAATCACAAAAGCACTCTTCCTATTACATAGATTTTGCTTCTGTGCTTAATTTTTTTTTTTTTTTTTTGAGAGGTTTTTGCTATTGGATGTGTGTGATCGCCAGAGAGCGAGCGAGAGAAAGAAAAAGCAAGAAATCACTTCCAAAGGGGAATGACTATGCCACAATTTCTTCTCCATTCTCCTCTCAGGGTTTTGGACATTCATGCACATGTAGCCAGCGTTTAAGCTGCTGGGTCCAGGACTTGAACTGTGGTCAACTATGTCGGAGCCTAGCAACATAACCATTACACTATCTGCTGGTCCCTGTGCTTAATTAAATCAGTCTCTTGTTGCAACCCACATTTTCTCTTTAGGCCAGGGTATGTTTTGTTTATATTACCCCTTTTTGAACATTTCTTTATGATAGTAATTTTTTTAAAAAAAATTTTAGTGTCTGAAATTGAATATTTTCTTAGTATATCATAGTGTATCTTTGGATTACTCAATGTGTTATTTTTCACATTTGAAGTTGCAGTAATGTGAATTGGGCCCGAAGATCAGAGTGTAACATGTGTAATACTCCAAAGTATGCTAAATTAGAAGAACGAACAGGTAAGATACTACTACATTTTAACTAAATGATTTCTTTTTTTCAATTTGCTAGAGGACACATGTGCTCTCTGAGACAATTGGGGTTAGGGATTGAGAAAGCACTCATGATGGGGGATGTTCACACCACAGTCTTTCTCCATTTATTTTTTTGGGATTTGGGGCATATACTCACACATGCCCTGGCATGTTTTTTCAAGATGAAGGATCCAAAACTAGAATGGTACAGTTGGCTATGTAGGGTCAAGCTGCTTTAACCACCATGTACCAGCTGGCCCCTAATTAAAAATTGAATTGATAATTATATCACCTTCTCATAACAGGAGAACAATAATGATTGAGAGTTGTCTGTTCTGTGTTTAATATTGTTTTACTAAGTTTTTCTCTTACACATAAAGTCTTTTAATTTTACAGTTTAAAAAGTACAGTGTTACATAGGGACACTAGATTATTTTTAAAAAGTTCTCTCATCTCTCACTGGCTTAGATATTTGCTGTTAAAAGTGACGCACCTTTTTTTCCCCCGCTCATCTGATATCCTAGTATGAAAAAAAAAAAAAAAAGAACAAGGGGACATGTTTTAGTCTGTTAATGTTGCTAGACAAATTCCTGAAACTGGGTGATTTAGTAAGAACAGAGATTTTTTCAGCTCACATTTCTGGTGACTAGAAAATCCAGAGATTGTAGACTTTCTATTCTGTCAGTGGTGAAATGAAGAAACTACTTACCTGAATGAAATTAACTATTTTCATTCACATTATATGTGTGCTTCAGATCTGATTTTATCACTCAACTGTTCATGTCATGTTACTAAAGGCATTTTTTCTACATATAGTTACCCATTCAGACCTAGACTTAGTAAACTATTTTTTGTTTTCTTGTCCTCCTTATTTGGTTTCTGAGGATCAGAGGTCAACTGATGATCTTTTAGATTCAGCACTTGTAGAATACAGCAGAATTTCAATGTGTATTTTGTCCCCTCATTTCCATTTTTTGGTTTTATTATGTTTTTTAATTTATAGTCTCACATGTAAGAACATTATAACCTAATGTTCTAGTATATTGTTTTTAACCTTCACATTTTACCTCTTATTCTCAGGAAGTGATTTTGCCTTGGTACTGATTGGGTCGATTAGTCCTTCCAATGGTCTCCCTTTTCCTTCCTTCACTTCTCTAAGGTACATAAGCTCTCACTTCCACCCCAAACATAAACCTCTAGTTGCTTATTCCGTCCTTTATAAGTTCATCCTTTTCCCTTTCTGTCTGACCACTAAATGTTGAAATTCCTTAAAGGCCTAGTCCCTAGGCACTCTCTTTCCTCTGCTAGGTATTTTCTTCTAAGCCCGGAGTTTAAATCATTAGCATACTGAGATACCCAAATTTATGTCTCCAACTCAGACGTTTTCTTTCAACCCATATATCCAGCTGCCTCTTTAGTATTGCCATGTAAATGTCAAACTCCTTTTGTCCAACCTGAATTTATGATTTTTCCCCTTAGGATTTAGCCCTCTTTCATTAGTACCACCAGCATATTTGTGGTACATAAGCTGGAAATTTGGATGCCCTTTAGCCTAGATAGTTCCTCTTTCACATCTCTTTACTTCTCCAAATAATCTTTTCCCTTCGCCACCCAAATTGTACCATTATGTCTTGTCATGGAAAAATAGACACCTACCTGGTCTCTATTCCCCTTCTGTCCAGTTGCATCTAGAGTTTATTTCATTTTTCCTGTAAAAACTATTTAAAAATCTCTTGCTTTTAGGGTGAAGTTCAAAATTTTTAACAATTTTAAGTATTATAATCCCGAAAAGTTTTTATCTCCACTCACATTCAACTTGATATATTTCCTGATTCCTCATCTAAAGTTTCATTATCGCAAAGCAAACTGAAGTTAGCAAAATTTATGTTTGATTTCTTCTCTTTCCTTTACGTCATTTTGGTGTCTTGAAACTTTCCACTTTTCACTTTCCTGGCTGTGAGTATTTGTTTTTGCTAGTAACTGAACTTCTGAGCAACAGTTGCTCTCCATTTCCTCCTGTTCATCTGTAGTACAGCAGTCCAAACTTTTTTTTTTTTTTTTTGAGAGGTTTGTGCTATAGTGTGTGTGTGGTTGCCAGAAAGACAGAGACAGAGAGACAGACAGTGAGAAATCACCCCTTGGGGGGGATGGCCACACTCAAACCCTTCTCCTCTCGGAATCTTGGGCACGCATGCACATGTGCCTGGTGTGAGTTTAAGCCACTGGATCCAGGACTCGAACTGCATGGGAGTCCAGTGACATAGCCATTACACCAACTGCTGGTCCCAGAGGAGCTTTTTATAAGCATTGTGAGACAAGATATGAATGAAGGAAAATTTGATGTACTATCTCTGAAAAAAATTGCTCAGTTCTCTTGCATAATTTAATGAAATTTGTTGTGCAATAATTAACTGTTCTCTTGTGTACATATTTACGGTAATTTTTTTTTTCATGTTTTCTGATGTAACAATAGAAATGACCTTAGTGGGTTATGATTTTTATTTGGATTATTTCCCTAGAATAAATTCTCAGTAGTTGAATTAATCGCTTATACTAGAGGATTGTAGAATTTTCAAGGTAGTGTCTTAGTACTTCCTTTGAAGTACATGTTATGTTCATTTATTTTTCACTTTTCATTTCCATTATTACAACTGTAACCCAAAACCTTCATTTTTAAATTTTTGGTTGTTTATTTGCCTTTGCTCAGATTTTTACATTTTATTGTGCCAGTTGAAAATATTTTCAGTGTAAAAGCTACTAAAAACTTTGGGATTTTGGACACACACAAGTGTGTGCCAGGTGTGTTTTTCAAGGTACCAGGTCTGGGACTTATGCAGTCACCTATGTGGGATCCAGCTGCCTTAACTACTACACCACCAGCTGGCCTGCCTATATTTTATTTTATTTATCTGTTAGCTTTATTTCTTCAGTGGGTGAGAGAGAGATCCTAACAGGGTCTTTTTACTGTAATCCACCTGCCAGTCTTTAGTTAACCTGGATTATGGGCCTATGTTTGTTTGATTTACTTATGGAGATCTCTGGACTTACACAGAGAACCTTTCCATGTAGGATTGCCTCATAGGACTTTGCATTTTAACTCTGTGCCACTTTCAGGTCCCTAATCTCTTATTTTTATTTATTCATTTATTTATTTATTATGATAGAGAGAATTTTGCTATAGGGTGCATGCGATCTCCAGAGAGACAGAAAGCAAGAAATCATCCTTTGGGGGGATGGCCACAATGCAATCCCTTCTCCTCCATTCTCCTCTCGGGATGTTGGGCATGCATGTGCACATGCTGTGCATGAGGTTTAAGCCACTGGGTCCAGGACTTGAACAAACCATAGTTGACTACATGGGAGTCCAGCAGTGTGACCATCACATCATCTGCTGGTCCCAACTCCTATTTTTAGAGCCTTTTAAAGATATTCAAAAATTTTGTAATGCTACCAGAATTGTGTTTTCTTTGTTCGCTCATTAAAGAAATAATTGAGATCACTGCGCAAGGTGTTAGGATACCTGGGTTAGCAAAGTAGACATGTAGAATCACAGATTAATGAAATCATTTTTGAGAAAATTTTGTTTAAGTAGTAAAATTTGAATTAACCAGTTCACAAGTTGAGAAAAGATTAAGCAAGAGCAACCAGGTTTTATGAAGGCTCTGACACTTGAAAGAATTTAACATATTAGATGGACTCCTAATTATTGCCAGAAAACACTTAAGAAATAGGCAAAGACCCTGTAAATCATAGTAAGGAATTTATATTTTATTCTTAACATAATAGCAAACATCTGAAGGATATTTAATAAGGGAATGGCACAATCTAGCTTTTATTAAATGTTGTTATTCTGGCTTGTGAATGAAAAATTGGGGTTGGGGGTTGGCGATGGTGGAAGCAAAAAATAACAATTTTTACAATATCACCTACAGTGCTTTAAACTGATAGAATGAAGGAAATATACACATCATTCCAGTGATTCTTCTAATCTATGGATCACTGGAAATGATAGACTATTTTTTTCATAATAGAGAATTACTGTATTTCCCATATACTGGGAACGAGTTCATGAGTTTGATTTGAAAAAAAATTCATGAGTTTGATTTGTTGTATGGGTTTGATACAGCATACATTTGTAATCTCTTTGTTGTGAACAGATTATTTAATTTCATTTTTGGTGGCTTGTATAAAAAATGACTTTGTATTGTGGTAATGTTCATTTTAAAGTCATCTTAGTTCCTTTGTAAAAATTACCTATATGAATTACAGTTTACTTTCTAATCTTATAATTTACCCTTTAATTCTCTTATTTCCCATATTTTTCATTTGAATATTACCGAATGAAGAGAACTCTACTAAAAGCTTATTTCATAATTTTTAAATAGGATTTAAAAAATATTTTATATGCTCTACATGACCTCTTTTTATGACTACAAATACTCAGTTTAATAAGCACTTTTCTGTACTGATGACTAAGATAATCATGCTGTTTATGTTTGTGTGATTTTTTTTTCTGTGTAAATTATTTCTTATACTGATTCTATGGATTTTTCAAAACTTTCATTCACCTGCTTGTGAGTATTTTTAAAATTTTACTGGCCGAAAATATAATGAGAAGAATGGATCTTGGGACCAGTTGGCACAATGACTGTGTCGCTGGACTCTCATACAGTCTATTGCAGTTCAAGTCCCTGACCTGGTGACTTGAACTCATGTCAGGAGCATGTGCGTGCTTGCCCAAGATCTCGAGAGGAGAACGGAGGAGAGAGAATTGCAGCCATCCCCCCTGAGGGATGATTTCTCACTTTCTGTTTTTCTGTCTCTCTGTTTCTGATGAGCACACTTGCCCTATAGCAAAAGCCTCTCCAAAAGGAAAAAAGAAATGGATCTTATATTAATTTTTTTTCCCAGAAAATACTAAAAGGCAGTTTTTAAAATGCCCATTTTTAGCAGATTTAAAGTCACAAGTCCTTAATTTTTTAAAAGACTTGTAATAAGCCTCTTTAACATTTTACTGGTTTATGAAGTCCTTAAGTCTAGAAGTCACAGGCATTAAGTGCAATACTGCTCTGGAACGAGTTTGATTGTGTTACTTTTAACCACAACCTCTTAAATTTTTCTTTTTTAAGAATTACTTTTTTTTATTTAACTTTATTTATTTTTAATTTGACCCGAGAGGAACAGAGAGAGATAGAAAGTGAGAAAGCTAGTCGCCAGATCCAGGACTTGAATCCTGGTTGGCCATGTGTGAGTCCAGTGCCCTAAACCACCATGCCACCTGCCAGCCCCAAATTTTTAAATTTTTCTGAGGTATTATTCAAAAATACCTCATCTCACTTTTTCTAAAACTAACAGGTTTTTTTTTTCCTTAGTCATTTAATGCTCATAAGAAAAGACAAAATTGCCACCCAAATTGTAAACATCAGTTCTGACTTCAGAAAATAATATTTTGTTAACCTTGACTTTTTTTTTTTTTACTGGGTGGAGGTTTTTGCTATAGGGTGCATGTATTCACAAGAGAGCCAGAGAGGAAGTGAGAACTCACCCCCCGGGGCAATGACCATCCTGCATTCCCGGTTCCTCTAGTCTCCTCTCGGGATTCTGGGCATGCATAAACACGCACATCATGTGAGTTTCAAGCCAGTGGGGTCTAGGACTCAAGCTGCGGTCCGTCATGTGGGAGCCCAGCACCTTAACCACTACAGCAGCCCCTCTTGATTATTTTTTAATAAAATTATTTTGAATTTGAAAGTTTGCAAGTTATTTCAGAGAACTTGAATAGCTTTTAAGTGTATGTTAAAAAAACAATTGCACCAGTAGTTAGTGTAATGACTGTGTCTCTGAACTCCCATGTAGTCAACTGTGGTTCGAGTCTCAGACCCGGTAGCTTAAACTCATGCCGGGCACGTCTGCGTGCGTGCCCAGTATCCTGAGAAGGGAACGGAGGGAGAAGAGATTGTGGCATGGTCATCCCCCTGGGGAGTGATTTCTCACTTTCTGTCTCTCCATTTCTATGTCTTTCTGGTGCACGCACACAGCCTATAGCAAAAGGCTCTCCAAAAAAAAAAAAAAAAAAAAATTGCATTAAAAGCAGTTAAACCAAAGTCAAATGATGACATTTAATTGTATTATTATGTTTGCCTATTTAATTAGTAATTTTCCAAGTTCTAGTTTTATTGGCCCGGTACATTTTAGCTTATCAAAATTTCAGCCCATCAAGATTATAGACTATTTACAACCATAAAGCAGTAAATTTGATTTTGGTTTCTTATTGAGTCTACTTCCAGAAGAATTATATTAAATTATATAGGAATGTCTTTTTAAACTTGGTTATAGCAGTTAACAGTTAAGCTGTTTTATACCTATACATTCTGTAAATTGCATGAGTTGTATCGGACATTTTGAAATTAAGAGCTACAAGCATAGGTATATTACTTTTCAATTGAGATACTCAACCTTGAGACTCTTCTTTATGGTGATTTTTAAAATATGCTTTTTAAAAAGATGAATAACTTATAGCAAGATAGGTAACTATCATTGATTCTATTTTCTTTTTCTCTGATGTTTGGAGGTGATTTGGACATATTGTTTTTATAATTGTTACAGGAAAACAATTTGTTCTTCTTTTTAGGATATGGTGGCGGTTTTAATGAAAGAGAAAATGTTGAGTACATAGAAAGAGAAGAATCTGATGGTGAATATGATGAGGTAAGCTATATATTGATAAACACATTAAATATAAATTAGAAAACATGTTAGAAAATACTTTGTATGCAAAGGAAAATTTTTAAATGTACCTTATTTTTCTGAGTACAGTTTGAGTGTTACAGCAACTTACCAATTTATAGGAAGTCAAAACTGACAAAATATTTCTTATAAATTTAGAAAATGTATCATCGTGCGTTTTCAACTAACATTTAGATTTTGAAACTTACTTTTCTCTAGTTTGGACGTAAAAAGAAAAAATACAGAGGAAAGGCGGTTGGTCCTGCATCTATATTAAAGGAAGTTGAAGATAAAGAATCTGAGGGCGAAGAAGAGGATGAGGATGAAGATCTTTCTAAATATAAATTAGATGAGGTGAGACTTACCTTATTTCTTTGTTGCATTTGAACCGTGGTGTAACATGAATGCTTTTGACGCCTTAAACCCTTGATGAAGATATGGTTTTCTCACAAGGGTTTTATGCTTCTACTCTGCCAAGTGCTGTTTTTGTTCTGAAGGTACAATAATGACCAAGGCAAAACTACTCTTCTCTTATTAAATTCTAGAAGAGAGAAGAAACATGTGAACAAGATAATTTAGGTAGCAACAATTTCATGAAAATATGTGGTATGATAGCAGAAAATTAGAACTGCTTTTGTTTTAGTAGATGGTTAATTTCTGAGGAGGTGAAATTTGAGCTAAGGTTTGAGTGATAGAGCGAATCTCACAGTAAGAGCTAAAATTATTAACACATTTAGGCAGAGAACAGCAAATACAGGTTATTTAAGTTTGAAAAAACAAGCCAGCAAGATTCAAAAAATCATCTGTAGACTCATATGGTTAAAGCAGAAAGGAGAATGAGAGATGTTAGGGGCAAGACCCACTTCAAGGCTTAGTCTAGTGATATTTTTTTTTTCATTGTGGGACCATAGGGTAAGTTTCAGGATCTGACTGTACAGAGACACATCAAGGGTACTGTAGAGTCTTAAACATAAAAAGACCCTGTAATTCAGTGAAAGAAGTCAATATGGAGCCATTATTTTTAACGTTTTTAAGAAAGAAACAAGATACATTTATCTATCTATGTTTCGAGGTGGTGACTGTCAATATATTGAGAGATTGGAGAGGCAGAATGAACATCCAGAATTCAGGGAGAAGAGCTAAGAGGTCACTGATATGCTAGAGAAAAAAAGGAACAGTATTTCAAACTGATACTAAAGGTAATACATTGAATGTAGAAAAAGTTCTAGAAGGACTTTTAAGGAGATACAATTGAAAAATTCTTGACAATGAATTTTATAATACATTGTGAAAGAAAAATAATAGGTTTATGTCTGAAATATCTTAGCTGATAGCAAATTTGTAGCTGAGATGAGGTTAAGTAGGTGAACTTCAGAAATGAGATGTTGATGATACATCCATATGGAGATGTCTAATACTGGAAAATTCATCTTTGATAGTAGGTGACGTTAATACATAAATGTCTAAATATGATTGGATTTATGATTAAATTTCTGCTAGGATGAGGATGAAGATGATGCTGATCTCTCAAAATATAATCTTGATGCCAGCGAAGAAGAAGATAGTAATAAAAAGAAATCTAATAGACGAAGTCGCTCAAAGTCTCGATCTTCACATTCACGATCTTCATCACGCTCATCCTCCCCCTCAAGTTCAAGGTCTAGGTCCAGGTAAACGGGTACAGGTCAAGGGTAACACCACTCAAAATGTCAGTATCTAACTTCTTTATTTATAAGTTTTGTTTTTCTTGACCAAATAAGCTTTCCTTTATCTTGAAGATTTTTATTTAAGTCATCTTTAAAATTTTTGTCATCTTTGTTCCATGCACTTATTACCCAGTATTTTCATAAATATGAAATTTAGCCTATTTTAGCTTCATGGCTTTTAATAAAAAGGTCTTAAGATTTAATTATATTGAATTGTATTGGGGCCAGCAGATGGCATAGTGGTTATGTCGCTGCACTCCCACATGGCCGACTGCTGTTCATGTCCTGGACCTGGAAACCAAGCCAGGCGCTTATGTGTGCGTGCTCAAGATCCCAGGAGGAGAATCAGCCAGGCGCTTGTGTGTGCGTGCTCAAGATCCCAGGAGGAGAACAGAGAAGGGATTGTGGTGTGGCTATTCCCTCTGTAGTGTGGTTTCTCACTTTCCCTGTCACTGTCTCTGTCTCCTCTGCGGTGAACACATATGCCCTATTGCAAAGAATCTCTTTAAAATATTTTTAATTATACTGTTGTCTGAATAGTTTATGTTTAGAAATTTTTAAGTAAATTGAAGATTCATATTTTTTACTCAGTGTTGAGGCCTAGTATAGAAATTTTCTGGGCACTCTTAAATCAGTACCTGATACAGAATGTTTTAATAATTACTTTGGTATTGGTATTCTGACTGAAGGAGCAGATTTACTCATGTTGGTTCTATTAACTTGATGCTTAAAATTGAAAGGACTCTATTGGTGTTCTGCTTAAATAGCCTTTGGTTTGGCAATGTAAAATATATAATCCCTGATTTTTATATTTAGCAAAAGTGAGAAAAAGCAATGCTTTAAGTAAACAGTGTTTTCTTGAAAAACCCTATTCATGGTTGATACTATGGACAGTGCATTTCAATCCTACTTAGGCATACAGTTTTAGCCATTAGTATTTAAAAATTAGATATTTTTAGTTGAATGTTAAAGCCTCATATCTTAATAGTGAGTATAGAGTATGATTTTGAGATAAATGTAATTATCTTTTTCTGTATGTTATTAAGAACAAGTTAAAAATGTAAATTAGATTAATATTATTTGTGGTTTTCAGAATTCAGATGGACCAGATCTTTCCCCATACCATATTTTTTCAAAAATGTAATTGCCCTAAAACAATGATTGATAGGGTTATTATAGGTTTTCTTCTTGATTCTGTAATCTTTGAGTAGACAGAAAATATAGGGATCAAATATACCTGCACATGCCAGAGTTTAAAGCTCCATACTAAGTAGAAACTGAAAAAAGGAATTTATAATAGAAAATGGTAGAGACATTTTAGAGAACTTAAATATAAATTGCAACATTCCATTTTTTGCATATGTTAAGCCTGAGTGACTTTTAATTATTTATGAACACAGTGTATTCAGTGTCTTTCCAACAGTGTTGATGCTTGATGTTTATATTTATGCAGTTGAGTGGCTTGGGGGATAACAAAACTCTATTACCCTCAGTCTGTTATTGAAATAAAATTTAAAGTTTATTTTAAATATTGTATTTAGGAAATGTGTACCTCATATTATATTCTTACATGAAAATAAACTCTAATGCATATCTTTCTTTCAGTTTTCATATCACAAAGCTCAATTAAATGGTCCTGGAAAAAAAAAAACCTTCCATGTTGTTCCAGGTCCCGTTCAAGAAGTTCTTCCAGCTCGCAGTCAAGATCTCGTTCCAGTTCCAGAGAACGTTCGAGATCTCGTGGGTCGAAATCAAGGTGAATGAGGTAGCATCTCTCTGTAAAGCAGAGAGAAAAAAAATATTAAAAGGCTGCAGGAAGTGTTGCTTCCCCCCCCCCTTATTTTGCTTCTACTTGTCAATTTTATTTTAGCATTAGAAAACTAATGCACTTGCCTCGGCTTAATTTTTTCACCATAAAATGTTTCCATTGCCTGCAGTGTGCCAAGACATTCCCATGATTGAATTAAGGTGGTAATTTTGCACTATGCATTGGTTGTTATTATATGTAGTAGTAAAATTGATGAAGTAGGAAGGTGAAGCTAGGTCTTACTGCCAAATCTCTAGTATGTTGTGTTTGCAAAAGTAATTCAAATAAAATTAGGCATTCTAATAAAAAGAAAGTTTTACTCAGAAGAAAGAAAAATAACTATCTTGAAATAGGTTTTTGCCCCCCAAGGCAACTGTTTTAGTATTTACAGAAACAACTTTACCATTTATTATTTATGAAAGTCTTTAGGGAACACTGTTACACATATTTTCATTGCTAATATTGGACAAAATATTATAAACAGTATTTGTGTAACAGATACCCCTATTAGCTGAATTAAGTATGGTTGGTTTGTTTAGTTAGGACAGAGTCTTTGTGAATTTTCAGGTTGCATTTAGTCAGACTTAGAGGGAAACAATTTGGAAACAAGTAAATGAAACTAGTTTTTGTTCTTGGGAAGTTTTCTATACTGAGTTGAAATAATGCTGCCTTTGTTTTTAAGTTAACTTATTGATAATCTAACAGCATCTAACATGAATAAAATGATTAAAATTCTACTTGAATGAAAGCTCATACTTAAGTTTACTAATGGCCATTTTGGTAGTAGTAATAATTTACTTGGTTATTTGAGCCAAATCTAGCATTAGAGGGCAACCGAACTTTATTTCATCACATTAAGAAGAAAAGGACAGCAAGTTGTACCCATATTTAAGTCCTTTTATTTTAGCTCTTAGGTGAAAATCCTTAAGTTCTGGTATTCCCTTTGGGAACTACTATAATTAAGGTTTACAGAACAGCCTTCATATTCATGCCAAACATTTTTCCTTGCTTATAACTTTCCAAAGAATTCTCCTTTTGGGCTTTCTGGTTTCGTTTTAAGCCCAAAGGTGAATTTTTTGGGAAGTTTGAGCTAAATTCCTTCAACCAAAATAAATGAAGAAAAATGTTTTTGCGTTTAAATAATTTGTACATTTACTTCTACCTGAAACATGTGAATGTCAACACTTCATACTTCATGAATAGTGTTTCTCCATAAAACCAAGTTTTGTAAATATAAATCAAGTTTCAAAGTTACTTGTTTTATTTTTCTTTGAATATATAGCAGTACAATATATTGCAGTCAGTATTCTTTCTTGTTGGTTTTCTATACCCTTTTTTTCTGTAGTAACTTGACTCTAATGAGTGGCATGATTTTATAAGGAGTCGTTAAGTATATTTTCTCAGGAAGTTGTATGTGAAATACATATTTTCTTCCCAAGTGGGAGGATGGACTTTTCTAAACATAGTTGTACAAATGCAGTTTACCTATTAACTTTACTATCTATATGTACTTTACATTGAAAAGCCTTAAAACATTTTTAAATTCTATTTTAATTCAGTAAGCTGATTTTCAATTATAAGTCATGAGCACCTATATTAGAATTTTAAAATGAGATGAAATTAAAATAATTGTATTTAAATAGAATGTTTTCATGGTTGATCCAGAAGTCTTCTGTTCAGTAAGCAGTAAGTATTATAAAATTTTCCTAGTTAAAAATCCTTTATTTTTTGGAGCTATCTGATAACTACACAGTCTTCTCCATTTCTTATTTTAACAAAATGTTTGATTTGTTTCTCAATCAATGAACATCCAGCTCCAGATCCCACAGGGGCTCTTCTTCCCCACGAAAAAGATCTTATTCGAGTTCATCATCTTCTCCTGAGAGGAACAGAAAGAGAAGTCGTTCTAGATCTTCTTCATCTGGTGATCGCAAAAAAAGACGAACAAGATCACGGTCACCTGAAAGGTTTGGGTTTCTGTAGAAATAAGAATGGGTGTTTTTAGTGTGTTTAATAGTTTAGCTAAACTTTTTATAGTTGGGTTAGATTTTTATTATCTCCTCTCTTCCACCTTTAAGTTATACTTTACAACCTTGAACTTTAAAACACATTACTTTGTACATAGTTTTGTACTTTAATCAGGTTATTTAGAAGTAAAGCAAAGTGCTCTGATCATCTTATTGTAAGTTTTTATATCCATATATAATTATTAACCAGCTCTCAGTTATTTCTGTCTTTTAAGGTTTCAGTTCACAAGCTATGTGTTGAAGTAATTTACAGGTTTATTTTATTAACCCTTCTAAAATAAATACAAGTCATAGGACTTTTAAGAGTATCTGATAAAAAAAATTAACATTCAGATCATTGAGAATCTCTTCCTCTTAAATATGAGTGCATTTCCCCGTAATTGTTTCATACTGTTTATTCTATAAGGAAATTGTTCCTTGTAGCTAGTACATTTTTCATCTCTAGGTCCACATCTTTTCCTCCTGTATTTTTTAAAGAGCTACTAGGTTACTTTTATCTGTCTCAACATTTTTAAAATGTGAAGGGTGTAATTGTCAATAGCCTTTTCTGCAACTGGCTAATTATTCAATTTCATTAACTGTCTCTTGGTTCCAATGTCTTAATTATAGTTATTTTCATGGCATCATTTTAATCTGAATTTTCTATATCCTAGTAGCTTGTGAAAAGAAGGATTGTGTGAAATCTGGTAATTAGTGGGTTCAGTGGTAGCATTATCTTTATCATTCCTACTTGTACAGAATTAGTTTCCTTCTTCGCATTTTGAGGTTTAAATATTAAGTACACACTAGCCTTGTTTCTCTGCATTTGCTTTCCTTGTAAGAAAATTATTCTGTATTCTGAGTGAAATTCATTCCACTGCTTTCTTATGACTTCTGCAAATTGTTATCTTAGCCACATATAATCTCCTTAGTTTGTTGTCATCTAAACTTAATGAACATGTTCTCTATTCCATAAGCCAGGTGATTGGTGAAAACACTAAACAACCCTGAGCCCAGGGCCAACCCCTACGGAACACCACTACTTTATCCAGGTTGATACTGACTTATTCATATTAGTGCATAATAAAACCCTGTAATTGTACAATCATCTTGTGTGACCTAGATATCCAAAGTCTAATTATTTATGAATATATTTTTCTAATACACAATTAGAAGTTTTGCTGTATCTGTTTACCTAAACTCATTAGACTTTTCTACAGTGTGTCACAGAGATTGTTTTAGTCACACTGTGTTAATTACCAAGTTTAAATGCTTTTGTTTCACATTATCTGTTATTGTATTCATTTTTTGCAATGCTTTCCTTCATTTCCTTAAATAATTCAGAGGTGGCTATATTTTGAGATGAGAAGATATTTTTATGTTGTAGAAAATCTTAAGTTCTAGTTATACCGTGACTGGGCTCCCATCCTGGTTCAACACATCACGTAACTTCATGTGTAAATTTGCAACTTAGTTTTTAAATTACTCCCTTGAATCAAAGCGTTTATTTTTTTATATTTTCACAGTAGTAAGAACAAATGCTGAAATCTAGCTCCAGCTTACTTGTTTTCTTGGTTTCTCCATTATGTCTTACAGGCGCCACAGGTCATCTTCCGGATCATCCCATTCTGGTTCCCGTTCAAGTTCAAAAAAGAAATAATGTATTAAAATTTACATCTTAAAAAAAAAAATCCAGTACAGTGCATGAAACATATTTTTTAAGAAGTTGGTGTCTTACTTGGTCAGAAGTGCTAAATCTGCTAGTAGAGGTGCATGCCTTTCATTGCTTTTCAGAATACAACAGCTGTGTTTATTTGTGAAATTAAAAGTAAATAGCATTTTAAGCCATAATGTTCCAGAATAGATCAATATGTTTACTGTTTATTATTTACAACAATTAGCTTCATTTCCAACATGTCAGCTGTAACAGAATACTTTTATTTCCTAATTTCAAACTTCTGTTTTTCTCATTTCCAAATTTATTCTGTTGGCTAAGGCAAAATTACCTAGGTTTCCCTAAACTTTGAGGCATGGAAGCAAGACTGGCAAACTAGTTGGAAACAGCTTGTTCATGTTAGTCTGGGAAGAGAAGAAAAGAAGAAAACCTGTTTATTGTTCTTAACCTATGTCAAAATGATTCTTTAAAAAGTTAAAATAACTTAAAACAGCCAACTGAAAATGACTTTATTTTGAAATTACCAGTGCTAATGGTGCCTTAGAATCATTCTTTTATCCAGCTTTAATTTTTCTATACCACCAATTAATGTAAAAGAATCTTGTTCATTGTAGAAAGAGAAAGGTATTATTCATTTTCCTTTCCAATATTTGGGGCAAGAAAGTAAGTCTAACAGTTTATCTTTTTTCTACACTAATGATTGCCTGCGTGAAAAGAAAAACATCTTTTTTCAAAATGCTTTTTTAAATATTTCAACAAGCTCTGTGTGATAACTTCAAAAATTCAGTTACCAAATAAGTTAAGGGTAGAAAAGTGTAAATCATACATAGTCAATGGCACAAACTGAAGAAAGCTTTTGAAATATATTTCTCTTTAGGCAAAAGACCAACAGAGACATTGTAAATTTAAGTGAACATTATGTTGAGCTATCTAACTTTAAACACACTGCCTAAAATTTTCTTCTGAATAACAAATGAATGCTTAAATTCTGCATGATGTAAGCAAAAAATCATTGTTTCCTGTTCACTTGAAATAACTTATGGCTTAAAATGCTTTCAGTTTGTTTTATTTCTCAGAATTGAAATCTGGTCACATGAGCTCCATTTTGTTTTCTGGCTCAAAAACAAAAAGATTTCTCTTAACAGTGTCTTCAGTGACAATGTAAGGTAAGTATATTGTATTAAGGGAAATCAGAAATTGTGCTTGGGAACTTCTCGTTATGGGACATTGATCCCCCCCCCTTATTGTCTGCTGCAATTTAAATGAAAATTAAAAACATTTTAAAGTATTTAGTAGACACACCCAACAAAAATTATATCTGAGTTTTTTTTTTTAATGTTTTTCTCTTCAGCAATCTAAAGATGAAAGCAAAATATCTTCTGTAGAAATATTTCAATGAATATTTTTACAGTGAGTTTTCCGATGTTTCTTATGTCTTAATTTGTGTTGCTACATTTACTGTAGGTTGCACAAGAACTTTTACTCTCTTGTGGTTGTGCCTCAGACTTTTCGAAAGTCTACCTTCTTAATTGCCCAGATGATCTCCTAGATTCTCTATGTTACCATTGGTTTATTCTTGTGCTTTTTTTGTATTTAAAACTTTGGCTGTACTAGGCAAATACAAGGTTATAAATTTAGCTAATAGTAGTTTACAGACAATTCAGATGATTATGATTTTATTTGGTTTAAGCTGTACTAGTTCATTTCATAAGGAAATGATGCTGTAGACAAATGTAAATAAAGCCTGTGAGTCAAGCATCAAGTGGTGTTTGTTAGAAATAAACTAGAGATTTTTAAACTCTGATCTGATACTCATTATTAAACTAACTATACTTTTGTGTCTTACTTTTGATTGTTTAAAGTTCTTTTGTCTTATTGTCTTTTGTATATGAGTGCTTTGTTTAAAACATTCCAAACCCGCAATCACTACAACCTTGCATACCCAGAATTTTTTTGTGTGTTTTGATTTTTGTTTTTGTTTTTGGTGGAGAGCTCCTTGGTAGCGTGCTTCCTGAATTGATCTTAAACTATCACTTAAGATTACTCAATACCTGCTAAGCTTTCTTAAGTTTCCATTCATTTAAACTTATATTGATTAATATCTGCTGATAAGTGTCCAAGTTCAAAGTATACTCTTAAGTGGGGAACTATCTCTTGGCATGATTAGGAAGATAAATTAGATCTTTATTTAACATCTTTTCTCTCATTCTTATGATCTGGCATTCACAGCCAGAGTTGATGTCAGTAAGAAGATGGAATTTTCTTCATTCTGTCTCCATTCTTTGGAATTCTGTTAAGTGCTTTTTAAATATAAATGTCCTCATAGCTCGTTTGACATGGACATATTATTTCTGGAAAATAGAGTGGACAGTTTTAATTAAAAGGCAGTTTAGTATGTATAAAAAGTGACTTATAGGCATTACCTAATTGTGATTCAGAGTATATATTATTACATAATATATACAGAAAATAAGGTTAAAGCAGAAGTAAATTAGATATTTGCCCAAGCAAAGTCATAGGAGTAACTCCATAGGGATCCATGCTCAAGTGTAATGGCAAATTTCAGCATTATGTTTAATAAAACCAAGTAATTTTTTGAAAGAAATAAATGTGAAATTGTTGAATCAACTAGTCTTATTTTTGGTCTAGTAATTTGGTAGAGGTGTAATTTCAGTTATGTAGGTAGGTAAACAGACACTATTTTGAAATAACTTTAGGTTTACAGAAAAGTTGCAGAGGTTGAATATGAATTCTCATATACCCCCACCTAGTTCTTACCATTAACGTATTAATATGTATTTGTCAAAACTAAAAAACCTTTATTAGTATATTACTATTATATTCTTGGTTTATTTGAGTTTTACCTTTTTTCTCAATGTGTTTCAGGATCCAGTCTAGTATATCATATTGCACTAGTTGTCATATCACTCTTAATTTCTCTGGTCAGTTTTTTATTCTTCTCATTGCTTTCCAAGACTTTGATGATCTCGAGGAGTACTGGCCATTTGTCTTATATAATGTTCTCCACTCCATTCTGGATTTGGCTATGGTATTTCTTCTGATTGTACTGAACACGATAAAGTGGGCTAGCCAGGTGTTGTGGTTAAGGCAGTTGGATCTCATATGGCCGACTGCACTCCTTTTTTTTTTTTTTTTTTTTTTTTTTTGAGAGAGAGAGAGGTTTTTGTTACAGGGCACATGCACTCACCAGAAAGACAGAAACAGAAAGCAAGAAATCACCCCCCCCGGGGGGGGATGGTCACACCGTAATCCCTTCTCCATTTTCCTCTCAGGATCTTGGGCATGCACACACACACATCCAGCATGAGTTTAAGCCACCGGGTCCAGTACTCGAACCACGGTCGACTACATGGGAGTCTAGCAACATAGCCATTACGATAACTGCTGTTCCCCTGGCCTACTGCACTCTTCAAGTCTAGACCCTATGACTTGAAAAATACACCAGGCACATGTGCATGCATGTCCAAAATCCCGAGAGGAGAATGGGGGAGAAGGGATTGTAAGGATGGTCCTCCTTGGTGACAGGTGATTTCTCATGCCATTACCATTCCTTCCTCATTCAGCCTTCATGACTGAAATTTAGAGCACTATCCTTGGTTCCTCTTGAGTTTGCATAGGAATTAGGTCAGATTCCTGAAATACAGAGTAATAAATTCTTGGCCTTTAATGGAAACAAACTGCTTAGAGTTTTTCTTAAAGTTTTATCTTTGCAAAGTACATCATGAAAACTAGTCTGTAAACTTGTGTTTTTCTTTTTTTTTTTTTTCCTGTTAAAAATTTAATCAGGCTATGTATTCCCAAACTGAGAACACTTGAAGTTAATCCATCTGTGCTTTAGTGGAGAATAAATTATATTTACATGTAAATACATTGATCACCATCCTCAATTTTTCATTTAAAGTATACCAACATATATTTTATTGCAGATGGTTAAGACTTGAGAAACAAAGGTCAGTGTCACTAGTACATATTGTGAAGTTTGGTTCTTTTTGGGCCACTAGGTGGCATGGTGGTTAAGGCACTTAACCAAACAGCCAGCCAAAAGCAGTTCAAGTCTAGGACCTGGCAGCTTGGTGTGTTTTTCCTGCTCAGAATCCCAGGAAGAGGGTAGAAGAGAAGAGATTGTGTGACTGTCACCCTTAGGGAATGATTTCTCACTTTCCGTCTCTCAGGAGCATTAGTACCCTGTCGCAAACACCTTAAAAAAAAAAAAAAACTTCCGAAGTCAACATTGAAGAGTACTAAAAAGGTTACACTGGAATTAAGACTTGTGGTCAACTAACGTGCCATATAATCCTCAGCAAAAATCTAAGGAAATTCACTGTGAATTGGTAAAAATGAACTTCTTTAGACTAAGTACAGTAGTGTGAATCATTTGCAAAATAAGCGACAAATTATAAAGCAATTTGCCTAACTTCTGAAGTAGGAGCAGATGATTGAGTTCTTAATAGTTTGTTACATGTTTCACTGTCAGGAATGTACTTAAGTAGAACAATAGGCATATTATGTACTATATACAGCCAAGTATAATTGTTATCATGATTTATACACTTAATGAAAGGGAATAGTGTAAAGTATGTTATTTTTTGGTAATTGGGCCAGTAAAGTGCTATAGATTTTACTGGAAAAATGATTCAGATACTTAATTGGGCTTGTGACAATACCTGTTACAAGTTCTTTGGTCAGTAGTTCAAAATCTAAAAATCAAAAGCAGATAGAAGTTTTTAGATAAATAATTTGGGATAAAACAAGTCTAATGAATATATATTTTATTATTGTGATCCTCAGTGCAGCTGTTACCTGTGTAATCTAGTTGTTGAAAACTAGAATAGATGGGTGCTAAGAAGTATGTAGAATTATGAAGTAGTTTTATGTTGATATGGAAGTTAATGATATGGACATGTGCTTAAATTCAACTTCTCAAAGTATTTCTTATAGAATATAAGGCAAGTGTTTGGTGGTGGCAACCTACATTTTTAGGCAAATGATAACTGAAATGAGAAATATGTTAACTTCTAAGTTGGGTAAACTGGAAATGAATCAAACCACTCTATATGAAACACTGTCAGCAGACGGAGGTGCAAATAAAGTGTATAGTTAATTTAGATGTCAAAAAATTTTGTTAAAGGACTCCAACAACTGATATATTTAGCACTTTATTAAACACAGTATTTAACACTTTATATTGAACATTGATTTTAAGCATTATTGCATTGTGTATAGT